ACGGGGCGGCCCATGGGGGCTGGGAATCCAACGTGAGTTTGCGGGGTGCCTTACAGCCCCAGAGAGAGGCACCTCGGGAAAGAGTCCTCCAAGGTCTGGGCAGCAGGGGCTGGGAAGGGGCCAGGGGGAGAGGACATGAGGGCAGGGGAAGGGGGGGAGCATGGAGGGGAGGAGGGAGCAGGGGGGACAGGACTAGAATCTGCACCCCCCGCCCATGAGTCATGGATAAGATGGATAAGTGAGCTGTGGTGGAGAGGGGACACCCTCAGACCACCCACCGGTAGAGCAGAGCTGGGGGAGCAGGGTCCGGGTGTTGGGGGCTACTGCTGGCCCTGCTCTCTGCCTCTGCCTCCTCCTTAGGTGAGTGCGGCCTGCGCCTGGCGGCCTGGAGGGAGAGGCCACCTGGGAAGGACAAGGCCAGTGTCAGACAGCAGCTGGGTGGGTTCCGGCTGGTTGGGGAGGCCGGGTGGGAGCCCCAGGCAGCGACCCAGGGGCGCGCAGGGTCCCCCCTGGTTCTGCACTCAGCTGCCTCGCACCCCCCCCTTCACCATGGTGCCCTCATGGGGGCAGGGGAAGGGCTGCCTGGGGTGAGGGCGGGGTCCTGCAGGGAGAAAGCCCAGCAGGTGGAGAGCGTGGGGCTGGGAACTCAGCCCTGCTGGCCAGTTACTGGTGCGCAGGCTTCTGCCCTTGCTACAACACACTGACCTGTTGGTGGGTGAACACTTGGCTTCACAGTCACACTGGCTGTTCCCCTGGGAATAGCAGCCTTTTCTTCTGGCCTGTCTGCTGGGCATTTCTTGCTTCTTGCCTGCAACTTGGTTGGGATCAGACCCACTGAGCACCAGCAATAACACAGCTCCCACCCCCCAGGTCCTAACTCACTCCCAGCGCAATTCCCTGAGCTCACAACTCATTACTTCGTGTTACACTTTTCAAATCCAGCACCTTGTTCACGTAACCTAAGTTTTACTTAAGTATAGTTAAGTGAGTTTTGACAAAGGCATTCATGCTGTAACTCATGTCCTGAACAAGATGTGGGACATTTCCATCACACCCCAAAAGTCCCGTTTCAACCCCCTCACTGAGTGCTCCCTTTCCGCAATCACTGATTTCAAATAAAGTTTACTTCTTTCATCTTTCTGTTCAAAGCTCAACATGCCCTGTCTGCACAGAATTCTCCTACCTCATTCCTTATGTATTCAGACCCCGGTAGCCTGGCTGTCGAACAGTATCATGTATTTAAGAAAATAATAATACTCACCTGCACAAGCTCTTTTCAAGTATAGGGGACAGAGGGACATTTCCTGACTCTTCTGATGATGCTAGCATTATCCTGTAACCACAGCCAGATAAGTATTGCAAGCAAGGAAACCTAAGATCTGCATATTTCTTATGTCCATGGAGCATAAGTCACTGCTACAGGTGAGCAAAGTGAATACAGTTACATAAAAAACGTTTGATGCATAAGGAATGAGGTAGGAGAATTCTGTGCAGACAAGGGAATGTTGAGCTTTGAACAGAAAGATGAAAGGCATAAACTATCATGAGTAAATATTTGAGTAGGGAGTCACACAAACTTCTGGTGTTCTGGCTTTTGGAACTCATGAACAAGGGTGTCGCCACTCTCGGGTGGTCCAGCCTCCAAGTGCCTTGTCCAGCTCCCCACGGACAAAAAGTAGCACATTCTGGTGTGTTCATTTCCTCCCCCGGGATCAGAAATCAACCCTATATGTTTGGAGGATTAAGGACAGAATAAACAACGGAAGACTAACTACCCGCTGTGACAAGATGCATAACTAAAATATTAGTGTGCACAAGGACTGAAAGGACCAAGTGTTAAAAATACACCATGTAAGCACTAAGCAAAAGGGAATTGGGGTTTCTACCCTAATATCTAACGACAGAGGCAGCGAGCAGGAAGGGTGGGTATAAAGATCAAAATTCACATTTCAATTCTAAATGTGTGTGCATCTGCCAGTGGAGTCTCACAGTGCACTACTGATATTTACAGAATTGCAACTTCTGTGGCAGCAGCCCTGGGGCTGGGATATAGAGTGTATCCCTGATGGACAGAGCACTGTTAGGTTAGGTGTGAGCTCCCACACAGAGGAGGGCCTCTCCCAGCTCCCCGAATCTCACCATGTGCACCCACTTCCTCCAGGACCAACAGCCTGTGTCTCGGGGTCTGACCAGCATGGACCCATGTTCATTTTGCAGAGTGACTTGGGGAACGGATACTGATGGAGTCAGGGGCAGGCCGGGCCTGCTGGGCTGGGGTGACACAAGGCCCAGGGCCCCAGGGAGGATGCATGGACAGAGTATGGACACAATTCCTCCTCTGAGGAGGCTCCTACTCTGACTTCACCCTCCTTTTCCTGCAGGGCCTCCCCTGAACACTGCAGCTTCTAGCTCCGGAGAAGAAGAGCCCAGCGATCACTTCCTGCAGGGTTCCCACAGCCTGGATATGCTGCTGCTGTTGTGGTACAGTGGGGGTTGGTGAGCATGAGGGTGGGTGGGTGGGGCACTTCACCAAAGAAGTGAAACCAATGGCAAATAAGTAATGAAAATATGCTCAACGTCGCTTATCCTTCGGAAATTACAGATGAGACGTTTTTATGTAAACCATAAAGTGACTTAGAGAAACATAAAGAAAACTCAGAACCTCCCAATCCATGAACATGGTCCACCCTTCTTTACTGTAAAGACACCTGTGTTTGGTTTCCTTTAAGTGCACCATTCCTCCTTTTTTACTAAGCTAAAACAAGGGGTTCTTTTACTCTAGAGACTGAATTCCTTCTGTGTCCATCAAGGTGCGTGGATCTACTTACGTCCCATTGAAGGAACGTGTATGTTGGGTTCACTGTATTTGAAAGATTGTATGAATAGTGGCAACGCTATGATGTGGTCGTGTCAGGGATTTGCCAGACCCATACTATTCAGAGTAGATGAACCACGGGAGCTCCTTTCTAATTATCACTGTGAAAGGCATCTCCCACTCCTGCTGGCTGGAAATGCCTTTGAGTCACTGTTAACTTTAAGAAGCAGATTATTATATGGCAGGAAATGCTCCTGTATGATGAGGAATTGAAAGAGAACCCCCTTCGTGCCCTTCTTTAACTCCATTCTGGCTTCTAGAACAGGAGTTCTCCATTATGATGCTACCTGGTTATTGTTTTGCATGATTCTTACATTTAAAATTCTGACTCAGTAAGGTAGAAGGGAAATGAAAATTCCACTGTCCATTGGGCAGGCTCAGCTCTAAAGCCCACGGAGCTGAGTGTGGGGAAGGATGGAGGCCACTGGGAGTGCCCCTCAGGGCGGGGACCAGACCAGTCTTGCCCTTGTGGTCTCCAGCCCACAGCACACAGCTGCTCCCAAGAACGGGGGAACAGAGGCCCGAATGCTGCCTTCACTTCCCCATGCCCCAGGTGTCATCTTCTGCCTCAGCTGCGCTCACAGACTCAAAGGACAGCTTCTGGGGGTCTAGATGGGGCTGGGACCCTCCAGGTCCGGGAGAAGTGGCCAGCCTCTGGCATGGACATGGGCACATGGGAGCCCTGGGGGACTCACCAAGTCTCAGAGGTGCAGGTCAGGCCCGTGCTGAGGGAAACCCTGAGATGGGCAGGAGACGGGTCGGTATTGCTGCAGATCCTGGGCCACCTCCATTCCCCGAGCTGGGAGGGGTTGGCCCTGCTGTGCAGGTGCAGAGTGGGGGTTCCTCTTCTCCCAACGGCCACTGCCACATGTTCCCCCACTTCCTGCTTTCTGCAGAGGAAGTGCTGCAGATCCCACTGCTGCTTCTGCCCCTGCTGAGGGTGGGTGAGGAGGAAGGGCAGCGTGGGGCTGAGAGTGACCCTCCTGTCCCTGCATGGTCCCAGGCTCAGGGCGGGTGACTGAGACCTGTGCGTGCTGGTGCCCTGAACCTTCTGCACCTCCAGTCCCTCTCCTGCCCCAGCTCTCGCTGCTGTTCTGGGAAGGGCCCATAAATACCAGGATGTCCCTGTGGCTGTGAGCAAGGGCTGACCTGATGCCAAGGTCACCCTGAGTGTGTGGGAAGCCCCACCCTGCCCCCATGGTGGGCTCTCCCCAGACCACAAGTGGGCAGGGACCCTCCTGTGGCGGCCGAGGAGACTGAGCCTGATGGGACAAGGGCCCGGCACTGACCCAGCCTGGCATCCCCAGCACACACTGTGATGTCATCAGCCAGACGCCCGAGTCTCAGGCCTGGCTGACCAGTCACACAGGAGTCCTGGGGCAGAGCAGTGGGTCAGGAGGCCCCAGGGCCACTGTGACCCTCATGGAATCCTGGCCCTATGCTTTCCAACCCGTTCCTCCTGGGATCCCATCTTGGAACTCACAGAGCTGTGGGGTTGCTTAGGCCCTGCCTGGACAACCTCCTCCCATCTGAGGCCATGGCAGCTGCAATGGCCTCAGGGGCCCTCAGGCTTAGGGACCTTCTCAAACACAGAGGCCAGGCCCTGGCCCCGCTGCCCTCCTCTCCCACTAGCCGGACCCCACGCCATCTGTACTGTCCACTAGCCGGACCCCACGCCATCTGTACTGTCCACTAGCCGGACCCCACGCCATCTGTACTGTCCACTAGCCGGACCCACGCCATCTGTAATGTCCACTAGCCGGACCCACGCCATCTGTA